CATCGGTTCTTAGTAAAGGATAGCATTGAAGCAGCATTACATGCATCACATTCTCGAAACACAGACGTTGGTCCTTATAATCTTGACACAGAATGTATGATTGGCGCTAGTATACGACGAACAAGCTCCACTAGTTTAGGAGTAGCTGGACCCAGTGAAGATAGAGCTCAATTGATGAGTATGACAATTAAACAGCTTACAGAACTGTTACACTTTGAGTGCAATGCTGGTATGCTCACCGATGAGTTGAAACTACCGTCGTTTTCTTTACTTTAATATTCCTATCTAAACATTTGTTTTGTCATAGTGTTGAAATAAATATGCTTATTTCGAATTCTTAATCATCTCTGACACCTTTGCTCATTCTCTTGTTTTATTTAATTTCAAATCATATATTTTACTAATTATATGACTTGTATTGTAATACTTCGCATTTGAATTTACTCATTAGATGTTTATTTATCATGTTTTATATTTTTGTATTAGCAATTATATTCTGTAATATAACCACTAATTTCAACGATTCTTCTTATGTTCTAGACGTAAAAAACTTTTAGTACTAGAAGTTTTAAAAAGTAATTAGGTGGGCGTATCAACAAATGCAGTTTTAATGCAACCGAAGGTTCCGTCGATAGACTAAAGTATAAACTTCCTGTTTTAGTCACGTGTATATATATAGTTTGGTGCCGCTATATTCGTTTATGGAGATTAATTGGTAAATTATCGAATGAACCCATTGTTAATGTAATGAGATGCAATTCTTTTACTTGTGTTTGTCAGTCATCAGCTATGTAGGACCTGGTATAAGGGTGTATCAGTGCAAGATCCCACACCTCATATCGAGAGTAAAAATTGAAAACATAAGAAAAACGGGGAATAGCAAGCAATATTAATTTTATTAGAAGGCTGCATTAAGATTAGTATTGCTAGCTGCACCCCGAACTTAGCTGCTAATTTAACGTAGTGGTCGGCCTCGCCTATCTTGATGACTCAATCGAGATACATTAGCTAGATTGCATGTTCCTTTAGATCCTGTCATGCCAAAAAGGTCGATTGGAGAAGCGTTATTGTGACTGGCTTGCACATAGACCACAGATTTATCAACATTTTTTAGTAGAACTTTCGTAGATTGTGGGAAATTAGCTTCTGTGTAGTATGTAACATCGACGGACTAAACGTTCCTTAATTGGACGAAGATTCTTTTTGTTTAAGCAATTTCATCATTATTTCTTTTGCGTATAGTCTGGCGATTCTTCAGTGCAAGACTTTATCTACTCTCGTCGGGTCTTTGAATTTTGCAGCAGTAATAAAAATGACGTTTGTTTTCAAGTTCTCGACATTTTTAGCTTGCGCATGAGAATGAAAGGACTTTGCAGTCGTACTTAATCTTTCGAACTTCGATTCTGTAGTTAACAAGTCATCAAGCATTTCATTAGAATAATCTTCAGTGGTCAGTAAGAAAATCTGTCCTCGAGGCATCCTTAGATTTTCTAAACCCAGGATAGATGGTCCACAATCAGTGATGAGGAATTCACAATTTAGGATTGAAGATTTGTCGTCCTAATCAGCAAATACAGCACTCGAGAATAGGAATTTTATAACAAATAATACTCGAAATGTAACCTTTGGTAGGGATAATTATAGCATCGGGATTTAATGACTTCACCTTTTCACCTGGAATGACGGATTTGAAACTTCCAGTGTGGACAATGAAATCGTGAAAAGCACCATTGGACAGGTGTAGTCGTTTCTGAATATGAAGTGAATTACTGGAAGTTATATATATATATATATATATATATATATATATATATATATATATATATATATATATATATATATATATATATATATATATATATATATATATATATATATAGTGAAACTTCTATCTCTCTACATTCAAAGCCAGCACACTGAACATGATTAAGTAGTAACTCCTTGAATGGCAATCTTATCGGTTTCTCTGGAAAAGCCGGATTCTCTAGCAAGTTATAGGCTTCTTTGCCGATGAACGTCAGAAGATAAGCTGTGAATTTATATTTAATGTCTTTTCTAGTCAAGCGGCAGAATACGAACCACTCCATATAATCATCCCATTTGAATTAATATCCAACTGTCCAATATTTGGCTCCATCACAACACCAATATAATAATTAGAACTGTTCGAATTAATGTGCTAACTAGGAATTCTCTAGATACTGCCATTTGAGGCAGACAGAACTAGATGAGCACAAATGAACGTATTATATTTGGAATAAGCAATCAAGTACAAAGGAATCATTAGCTGGTACATATACCACACTTTGTCATAGGCACGCTAGTAGAGATAAGAATTATCATCTGGTTTTCCAGAGGTTGATCTTCTACAAGGAGATTCACTTGCTGACTTGGAATACGGAAATGATATAGTTCTGTTTGTTGAAGACACTGAAAAAATACAGTCTCTTGATCATCTTAAGCAACAATCCAACTGTGTTTGGGGATGTTTCTCTGCCTCTAAATGCAAAATTTTACCTCAGGATTGACTTGCATAGGCGTCTAAACTAATTATAGGAATTGGGATTGCTGAACATACCGACCGATTCACTTACCTTGGGAGTCTCACTAGACCTGATGTCTGACGAAATCTCGGAATGATTGATTGGCTTTTGCCAACTTGTGTCATTTGTCGCGTATGCAAGATATCCATCTACCAACCAAAGGATGAGTTTACTGCACAGCAGTTCGGTCTGTTCTACTTTATACGTGTGAAACATGGCCATTAACAATAGATGATACTCATAGGTTACCATTATTCGATCAAAAGTCTCTTCGAAGCACTGCTCGTGTATTTCGAAACCACGGAGTAAGTAATGTGGGTCAGGAATATGGTACAAGGTAAGGATGAAAAATCGATTGATGAGGTAGTAAATCTTCACCAACTGAGGTAGTCGGGACATGTGTTACGTATGCCTAACCACCGCCTACCTCAACGACTGTTGTCTGGTGTGGAAGGAAGCTAGGGGCGGCCTAACCAAAACATGGGATCGGTCCAAGAAGTCACTGACAATTGGATGTTATTAAGCATAGACCACCTGGCTGGGGTTCACGAGATTATCATGTCTAATGTTTAGAGACTTAAAATCATTTGCAGTGACGCAAGCGCATCCACTTTTTGCCTACCCCCAAATTCTAAGATTCTGAATTCCTCACGCGTTTTCGTTTCTATTTTACTAATTTATATTTTCTTGGATTATCTTCGATGCCTGATCTTTACTATTACCACCTTTATGATATTGGGATTTACCCTGACAATTTTATTTCTCTGTGTTAATGGGGCATGATAACTTGAATCAATGTACATAACTACCGGGTTCTAAGTTGCAACTGACTGGTTTGAGAGATATTGTTATGTATATCTTAGCAAAATATTATTCCACTTACACGAGATTAGACAACATACACACAAATGTAACCAATTAATTTGTGCGTAACCCAAATGTATTGTGAAGTCTAAAGATATAAGTGAACATGTATTCTGATTCATTTTACTACTAAAACGGTGGCCAACCAAAAGAAATTCAACAATTTGGAATTCCTATCCACAGCTATTAAGAAGATAAAATAGGAAATTATGAAGCTTTCTGAGATAACTTGTGTCTATATTTGATGTGTGGACTAATAGACTTTGAATGAACAGATTATATTCACACTGCTTAGACATTTCAATAGCTTTTATGTCCTCAGACGAATACACGTATAAGGTACATATTGAACTATACTTTTATTGTTGATCCGCACCATTCAACTCCGTGCAACCCAGTCCCATATATTATCATCGATTTGAATAAACGTTTTCCTCTCAAGACATGTTCTCACCCTTATCTTTAAACTAAATAATTGTTGCTCGATATCTTACTACGGATAGTTAACTAATGAATTAATTACTCAGCTTTAAAAATGCACTAGCTGCTTATGTAATATAATTCTATTTTTGTTTTTTTTGCGGTTTGGTAGTTTAAATGTACAGTCATCAAACCTTTCTATCTTTTGGAACTAATTAAAAAAATGAATACGTCAGATTTATCAAATTCTGAACAAGTTAATGTATGCAATTTAATCGTATCGTAGGACCCAAAGCTTCTTTTTGTATATACAAAGAAATCTGCACTTTCGATTAGTTTTGTAGTCTAGAGATATACAAATGATTGTTATATAACCTTAGTAATTGAATTATGAGCTCTTGGATATAATTATTATAGATTTAATAACTATTTAATAGGCTACCTATAAGGAACGACATAATGAATACTAATAATTGTTTAGATAAAAGCACTTCACAATGAATTCAGGTAATGAGATACTTTTAAGTAAAGCAGCATCCTTTGTAATGTTTACATTGCAAATACGCTAAATTTATTTACCTTAAAACAACCGTATCCATTATTAATAATTCATGAATATTTATTAATCCCCTTACCCATTATTAATAGATCAGATTTTTCTGCCTTAGTTTATTTTACACTATTGCTATTATCAGTCAGCTACAACGTAGGACTAGGCACATAGGTTTAAGTTGTCATACCTCATTAGCATAACAAGATGAACACCGGATTCATAGAATTAGTTAATTCAGAGGTGGTAATATATAAAAGAAAGATTGCAATAAGGATATAGTTCAGGAAGAAAGAATTAGTTCATAGAAAGAAAGATATGAAGTGATTTTAATCTCTTAGTTTAAGGGAAGACAAAGAGTGTATACACTGACTCCTTTGTGATAGATTCTGAGCCGTCACCAAGAGTCTCCAACCATTGGTTACGATAGTCGTGTGGACTCCAACTAAGTAGTCTGTATCTACCAACATGGCCCAGACTAAAAGTTAGTGACTTCAAGGACTGATGCCACGTTTTGGTTTGACCGCCCCTAACTTTTTTCCAACAGTCCCCAACGCTAGTCAGCATTGCTATTCCATTTATCAGTCACACTTTCCTAATTAAAAATAAATACATTTTTTCTAAGAGTATACTTCAAATCAATCACATTATTTACCTTAGATAATATTAATCAAAGATAATAATTCCCAGACAATCAGTATTTATTTTTGATTACTTAAAATATAGTCACATTTCTCGTATACCATTATTCTAACAAGATAATATCACTGTGTTTACGCTCTAACGTAGATGTACACAGAAATACATTTTTTCTTCTCTACATTATTTTAGAGGTAAACCATAATTTTAAATAAAAGAAACACATATTTAACAATATTAGGAAGTGGTAACACCGTTAATTCTTACTCATGAATACCAAATAAAAATATAATTCATAAAGACCAAATAAATATGTAGTGATACAATGAAGAAGAAAAAAAGAAATAACCTTCCAAGAACAAGTATAATGAAAAAGACTAACAACCACTACACTTATAATGAATATTAAATAAATGATAAGAAATTAAAGGTTGTAACCCATGAAAATGATGCTTTAATTATTAAGAATATACTGTCAAACGGAATTATCTAATAAAAACAAATATATTTCACTAGGTATACATACAAATGTTTCCAGAATTTGAACCAAAAAGAAATATTACAGTACAAATAACATGTACATAGATGCACAATACACTATATATATTACACGATCAAAAAATTACAGATTAATTAGATATTCTGTTGTTTTATTTAGCCTTGGTAATATTATCGGCCTTTCTTACGACCTTTCTTTTGTTGCTGTTTAGCTGTATTAGACATTTGTTTAGGAGTAGATCCTGCTGAACCGTCTTCATGAACTTTGACTTTAGGACTACGTATAGCAGCATCCCTAAAATGAAATTTTTTTCTAAATTTAAATTTATGTATAGATGAATCTACAATTGAATAGTTTATGATAAAATTATTATGTATTTGGTTATTCTATGTGCATTTATAAATAATTCTAAATTCAAAACTCCTAAGGTGAATAAAAAACAATACACATAGTTTGTTGTTTAAGTAAACGAATCCTACTAAAATCAACAAATAAATAAACAAGAGTCGCATTTAATGAGAGTTATGGTTTACTTAGCAACATAGTCGAGAAAGACTTATCTTTGCCCAATAAGTTGATTTCACTTTTGTAGTGTGAAAGAAAATCAGGATTGAATTACTACGGACTTCCATTTTGAGCCATATCTAATAACATCTTAAACTATTGAGTTCCAAATTCTCTAAAGACCGACAAATCACAGTCTTATCTCCTTGTCACAGCGCCATTTCATAAATTGACCATCACATCGCTTTTTCCACTAACTGTCAGATTCAACAAACGATGTTCGATGTAGAAGTCAGTGAAATGGAGCTCGTAGAACACGAACCAGTTACTGAAGTTGGTGTCCCACGACGATGACACCATTTGAATTATCACCCATGTCCAAAATACCCATTGTCAGGTATTACATGACTAAGACTATGTTGCCACTGGATATCATCAATAATGCAACATAGAGACACTACACATCAGCTTTGAGAGGTCAGGTTACATGGAAAAAGAGCAGAACTACTCTAATTGACACGTAAACCGAACCTTTTACGGTTAATATAACGTAAAGATGTCTCCAAAGTTGACCCGAATGGGGATAAGCTGCTTTGGCTTCCACTATACGTAGATTGACAGTGTGTCACAATTGATTGATCACTGGGTGGTGACCAATGTCATGCTTGTCTAGTCCTTATTAGTGCAGATCGAATGCTATCGATCATGTTACAATGTGGCCACCAGTCTAGGTGACTCGACACTGCGGGCACTATGTATTGAGATTTAGATGGTAGTTGGAGGTGGTCAACAGGAAACCCTGGACCCGGGTTTCGTGCTATTTGGCACTCGTCAGCAAGGTGTACCTGTAATCTTAAGGGAACTGGTGCTCCCTGGCGGATTCGATCTCGTGTCACCCAGCTTCACAGTCAGAGGCGTTACCACTGAGCTATCCGAGCCGTGACTAACCTCCTGTAGGACTGAGATGTAATCACAATTGATTGATCACTGGGTGGTGATCAATGTCATGCTTGTCTAGTCCTTATTAGTGCAGATCGAATGCTATCGGATAGCTCAGTGGTAACGTCTCTGACTGTGAAGCTGGGTGACACGAGGTCGAATCCGCCGGAGAGTACCAGTTCCCTCAAGATTACAGGTACACTTTGCTGACGAGTGCTAAATAGCACGGAACCCGGGTCCAGGGTTTCCTGTTGACTACCTCCAACTACCATCTAAATCTCAATTGACACTGTGTGCTAAACAAACACCAGCGATTCACCCCGGGGTTGAGGGACAGGCTCCTCCTAGCCTAGTAATAGTATTCAATGTTTCGCAGGAACATCACTGATTAAAATCTTAGTAAATAACTTGTGGGACTTTTTCACCAACAAGAGTAACTTCTGTCGTCTTCATATTACCCAAGATAGTAGCTAGATAACGTTTCGCAATCTGACTTAATTGTCAGTATAGGGTTGTAGAAATTGTTGAGCCTCACTGAAATCATGAACAGATCAATGTTAGACCACCGTTGAAAACTTGGAATCACTGGACGGCCGTTTAGTCCTAGTATATTACTCAGCAATGAGCATCACCCCCCGCACGCAGAAACCGAAACCAGAACTTCGATCTCGAGCGCGAAGGCTTAACATCCAAATCTCTGGGCCGGCATTTAACAATTATTGTGCTCATAAAAGTATACACTAAAATGGTCAATTCCAAGATATCAGAAGATTTGACTGTTTTGGTAGAATTCGTTGCCTACATGGTTACGTATACACATGAATTAGTACCAATATTTTAATAGTTAAAAAGAGCGCGTTAATAAGTGAGAAGTAACGAGCGCGAAAACTAAATAAACAGACTAAATATGACGAAAACAGCACCTACCATTCACTTTCTCCAGTTATTTGACCCTGAGGACCGCGTGTAGGAGCAAATCGCTTGTCACGACGTTTGCCACGATAGTGAGTACGTTCTCGTCGGGGTAACCAACGATTAGGATCAGGCATAACTCCTGGCTGATAATTCTTTGGCAGGCGAATCTTCTTCTTTTTACGCTTAGAACGTGAAGTAACCTGCTGCACACCAGGATCTGAGGAAGGAGTACTGATAAATAAAATTTTAAAAAAGTAGAATTACAGTAGTACACAATTAATATACACAACAGCAAAGAATACAATGTTTGGTGACTTCAAAAATTTCTGATCAACCATTCAAAACTTCATGACCTTAATCTTCAGTATATCGAAGTTGTTTAGAATATTCAATCTCAGTTTACTGTAAAATAAGGTTGAGCAATAAATTAAGTACTAGGTCAATAAAGAATGCTTACTCAGTTTTTCTACTGACAAGTTATATATTTCTAGTATCAGTCACTTTTGAACTAACTAATAGAGCATTGACTGGATTAATTATTCAACAGATTTAGCTCATTTTAGCAACCCACGAAAAATTTATCCATATAAAATATAACTCAAGGACTTTTATAACAGCTTACACAACACTAATAAGTTGCTAATTTATTAGCTTTTGAGTACTACACTGTATATTTTGGAGCTTATTTTCAATATTATTGTTTGATGTAAATTTACGGGGCAATTCGATTTTTTCCCACGTACAATTATGTTTCATTTCTGAATGTAATCCGTATTTCAGAGTGTTAATAATACTAACAGACAGTAATATAGATGAAACAAGTTGAAATATAACCGTCCTAAATGTTGAATGTGATAATAAACAACTGGTCCTGAAACTGAAATGAGGATTGTAATTAGGAAACAAACTTTACAATAAAACTCCGTGGATGAGGAAATAAGAAACAAATAGCAAAGTTGCAAAATAGTAGAGAAATTTAGAACTTCACAGCAATTCATTTTTCCATTGGATTAGGCATCGATATATAATTACTGGTGAAATACAAAAAATATCTTACATTTTTTCAACTTGGTAATTAGATAGGTTTTTACATTTTAATTTCCTTTCAATGAGGACCACAGACGGTCTCTCTGAACGACTTCTTTATCAGCTCAAGAGAAGACTCGATAAAATAAGTTGAGACAGTTATTTCTTTTCAATTTGCTTGTTAGCTCCAAAATGTACCAATGACCGATTCTCACGAGCTGACTGTTTGTCCTTTGATTGAATTTATTGTTCGGAAGAAATTTCAAGGTAACAACACTAAGAATATTTTATGAAGATTCTCTAAAATCCACAATTACTTACAAGTAAAAATTCTCAAGAATAACTCTGGTACACTACACTACCCAATATTGGTTATGCGTCAATTAGCATTAATTGGTTATAAAGCAATCAATTGCCTTGAGTATGCCAAGATTTTGGATAATTAAGTTTTTAAATGAATATATAAGTTCAAACACTTACTTAGAAATGTTTTTTTTAATTTGGTTTCGTTTTGACTTGCCCTTGTCTGAAATATCCGTTGGCTCACTGGGTTTGCCAAGCCGTTTTAAAGACTTTGCTCCATATAAAAATGTAGTTTCCAAAGTATCTACATCAGCCTCTGAGAGGGATTCTTTAGCTTGTAATGATTTACAGGTTTGTTCGGCTTTAGGACGATCAAACTGTGCGTAGGCACGTACCAAACGAGCTACCAGTACTTGTTTGATTAAACTATTTTGTTTTTCTTGAGAAACGTTTGATTCAAGTCGGGCTAACTGTTTTTCAAGAATTTCAGCCGCAAGTTTTGCCTCACCTTGTTGCAGAAGAAATCCAGCACAATTATCCAACAAATGGGAATAAGTTTCATTCTGAAGACATCCATCCAGAAAACCATAGTTTAAGTCGCATAAAAGTATCCATCAAAGAAGTCCAACAAATGGAAAATTTAATACAAGTTAAAATTAAATTCAAATGTTAGTCTTACTGATGATAACAAAAATAAATAGTTCAGTTCCAATGACGCTTTACGATATTTGACAAAGTACTCAAAGGGGTGCGAATGTTGGGTTTTAAAGGCCTTAGAACAATAATTAGAGACTCTACATTACATATTCATTCAGAGTTGTAACGATATTTATATGAAGTTTAAGTCCTGAGAATAGAAACCAATAGTTTAAATAATATCAGTCAAATCCATCTTTTCACCTATGATAATAAAACTTCTCGAGCTGCATTTAGACTGTCATGAACTCAATAAATGATGTACAAAATCATATGAGATACAACAATCAAATCATAAAAGACGAAGAATGACAAATCACGAATACATTTAGTAATAAACTTTCTAATATTCAAGTTTCACCCATTTTTGTTTTTCACATGAATACCAAGAGTAGAAGATACAAGTATCAAAGTTCGGACTGGAAAACATCAACAAGTTGATTCGGAAATTATCTTCAATTCATTATATATAGGGAAGAGAATTACCTGTTCTCCTAACTCTTCATAATAATGAAGGGTTGATTCAATACAATTGACTATTTGTTTCATGCTATCGGGACGTGTTTGTACAGCATTTTCACCAGAGCTCGCTAAAAGATATAAAGCGATCCGTGTTGACAAAACACCGGGAGAATGAATTAAGTGCTGGGGAAGAATGTTTTCAAGCATTTGGGCTACATTTAATGCATTTTTAGGTTGCGGACTACCGGTTCCCAAATGATTTGCAGATATTCGGCGAAGATTTATTTGAGCCAAAGCTAAAGGGATTTCTGCATCTACCTGATTACCAGTAACATTGGACAAATAACTCTAAAGGTAAAGCGACAGGAATTAGGTGAAAACATGTTAGAAATCAGTATTAGCACAGATGATGTCTAGTTTGATGTTAATTTTAAATTAAAGAACTTATTGTGTCTAGGTTACTAAGAATAGATGCTAAATAATTTTATTGCCTAGAAATCTTTCTTTACCCTAAAATTTGACCAGAAATCGACCAAAATATTTTTTTCAAACAGCTCATTTGAAATCTTAAAACACGTACGGAAACCCATAAAGATCTGTAAAATAGCACTCCCACTGACTGACAACCAAATCAACACCAAATAACTCGGCAACTATACTTCTCATTGCATCATCATTAGTAGTTACATCGAATACACATATTCAGTAGATCAATCAAATTGATAGTTTTCACTCTTCACTCAGTAATTCGACCCCTAGACTTAGACAATTGATGCAATGGCATTATTCGCGGTAGGCCTTAGGGAATTAATCTTTGAACTGTCGTTTATTTTTTGAGATTGTACGCCTCCTCTTTTCTCAATATCGCTTTCTTCTTTGAGTGGAGTATATTTATTTTGTAATGCCGATTTGTATCAGTATTCATGTATTTCTTTAATAAGTGTACATTGGCACATGTTCTTAACAGATACTCAAGTGAAAGCTAATCTTTGTGTTTGCCACTACACTTTAACAAAATAATAATTCACAGTAAAAACCACCAGAAGTACCTCTTTTATGTGCTAATTTCCACAGTACTCCAATAATATGTGAAGCCTAAAAAATATGTCATAATTAAACTTGAAAAGGGGATCTGCATATTAAAGATTTCAAACTTTATCTGTTTGATTGGAATTGAATAGTGAACCGAAATCGATTTCATCATTTGCTTTCATCAGAAAACTGTAGTTTATCCTTATTCAGTGTAGACCTGAAAGTGCTGATGACAGTGTAATATAAGTAACATGTGATTAAAGGAAAACTAGGATATGCCAAGTAATGGAATGTTTCAGGATCACTTATTTATCCAATCAACTAGAACCCAAAAATGTTAATGTAACAGACTAAAGTTCGATTTTTATTTAAGTCGTTACGTATAAAAAAAATATTTCGTATAGACGGTCAGTATAAATTCGCTTTAGTTACGATTTTCATTACACTATACATGAAGTAAGTATTTGATGCGTTTGTAGTTAAATCATTTATTTCCAAAACATCCAGAAACATTTACTGTGAAAAAAGGTTTGCCAAAAATCGATGAAAAGCAACAGGATACTAATGAAATGGTGGGTGGAACTTTAGATTTATGGAACGAAACAAGAAATCTTTACGAAGAGTAACATGGCATTCATACAACGACTTACTTCCAAGAGTAAAACTGCTTTATCAATATTTTTCTCTTTAATTAACTGAGCAGCCGATAAAAGCAAAGCTCTTGGACTTAACTCCTCTTGTAAAACTGTACGTAGCTTTGCGGTACAAGCTTCCATCTGTATAAAAATTCAATAAAATATTTCGGAAGTTTGCTTAATGAAATTACATAAAAGATTAGATTTTTAAAATACGTTAACACTGAAAGAATAAGTGCTAAATGCATAATGTGTGTAAATTAATACACCAAAAATAGTGCGATCTAAAGTGAGTATTGTTAGACGAAACACAATTTTTGAAGAGAATTAAGAGCTAATATTCTTCGAAGATAACAAGTTAAAGTAAAATAATCCTTAAGCTAGTGAAATCAATAAGCCCACAGTTCAAAACAAATCTTAAACATGAAGACATCTGTCAGTCTGTGGTCAAATACTAGTAGCTTACGAATATCCTCTACTCCTAATGGCCACGTTTCGCAGCCGTAAAGTAGAACAGAAAGAACTACCGCGCAGTATACTCATCCTTTCATTGATAGACGGATATCTCGCCTACGCCATAGGTGATATAAGTTGGCAAAAGCCAAATGAGCTTTTCGAATCCGTGCTGAGATTTCGTTCGATACCAGCCCACTAGGGCTGATCAGACTCCCAAGATAAGTGAAGTTGTCAACGCGTTCGACTACTTCACTCCCTACTATCCTTAGTTCAGGTGTTGATGCAGACCAGTCCTGAAGCAACAACTTGCATTTAGAGGGAGAGAAGCGCATTTCAAACATTCTGGCATTGTTGCTCAGTACTACCAAAACACTCTGCATTTTATCAGCGTCTTCACCAAACAGGACTATATCATCTGCGTATTCTAAGTCGATGAGTGGACCTCCTGGTAGGAGATCAATACCCGAGAATTCAGTCGACGAGAATGTTATTTCCATCAGTAGGTCTATGATGAAGTTAAACAGAAATGGAGGAAGTGTACAGGCTGGACGGACACCACTTGAGGTTGCAAAAGCAGACAACAGTTCGCCATAAGCTCTGACTCGACTAGTAGTGTTCGAGTAAAGAGCCTTCACAAGGTTTATGTACTTCTGAGGTACGCCTTTCAATGACAGACACTGGCACAAAACCTCTCGGCCTACAGAGTTAAATGCTGCTTTAAAGTCAAGAAAGACCACCATTGTCGGACGCCGACAAGCATCCCTGTGTTCTAGAACCTGACGAATGGTGAATATGTGGTCGACGCAGCCACGACCAGGTCTAAAGCCGGATTGATTTCCTCGTGTTTGCAGTCCACGTGTCTTAGGCGATCAATAATTATTGAGGCTAGTATTTTAGATGTTATATTAGTCAAACTAATCCCTCTATGGTTGTCACAGGATGATTTTGACCCTTTCTTATGTATTGAAACAATTAGTGATTGTGATCAGTCAGATGGGATTACGTCCAACTCCCAGATTTTAGCTAAAAAATTAGTCAACCTAATCGCTAAAACAAGACCATCATACTTACAGATATCTAGAGCCAAACCATCTGGGCAGTTGCTCTTCGTCAATTCAGATTAGCTATAGCTTTTTTAACTTCAATTAGAGTCAGGGGACCTACTTCAATGTCCTGTTCAGGCTGTTTTGGAATGGTGAGTAGTTGTAGAGTAGCTGAATGCCAGATGAACTGCTCCTCAAAGTGTTCCACCCATCGTTCTAAACGTCTGGGATAAAAGTTGTTGTAGTCTTTTTCCGAGATTGTCTCACATTTGACTTCTTAATTCTAGTTTCTTTTATTAGTCTGTAGAGCTGTCTTGTGTTCCCTATAGTCGCCGCCTTTTCCATTTCTTTTGCTTTCGTTGCCCACCACTGCTCACGGTCGTTTCTTAGACTTTTGCTTAACCTAGATTTGATTTGTTGTCGCTCTTCATCGTGTTCAGAACCTGATGGGATGGGTTTACAAGAATCCATCAGTGCAATATACATTGAAGAAATCCACTGGTTTTTTGTAACCTCTTGGTTTAAATCAGTAACAGATGTCACTACTGTTTCCACAGCTGTTCGTATATCTTTCCAAGCAACATCTGGGACAGCCTCGTTTTCAGAACTACCTAAGTGTGACCTCAGTTGTTCCTGGAACCCACTTTTGGTTTTCTCGTTACTCAATTCAGTTCTAATGGGTCTTTTTGATGTGGCTTTTTTGCGTCCAATGAGGCGCAAGCAGATGCGTGTCCGTATTAGGGCGTGGTCGGAGTCCAAGCAGGTACTCCAGAATGAGCGACAATCTTCTACCGACCCTCTCCAACGATGACTGATGGCAATATGGTCTATTTGAGACCATCGTTGGTTTGGTGAAGGCGGACGCCAAGTTAGACGATGTCTCTCCTTATGCTTAAAATGTGTGTTTGCTAACAATAAACGATTGTCTGAGAACAGTTGCAGCAGACGATCACCATTATCTGTTCGTTGAGCCGGAACACAAAAATACATACATAAATGTCCTTCTCTCAACCGTAGCTGCTACCTTGACGTGGTAATCGGGCTTGCCTATCGTGATGATAGCAACCGATGGTTAGAGACCTCGAATGATATGGCTCAAAATCGTTTGCAATGGCGCAAGTGCATCCACTCTTTGTGTTCTCCCAAATTCTAATCTTCTGAATTCTTCATGTCCCTTTCTCTTTTCTCTTTCCAAATTTATTTCACTGAATTATACTCCTTGAATAACATCTTCAAACCCTGATCTTTCCAATGACGGCTTAAACTTTTACTACCTCTACCACTATGGGATTTGAATAGACAATCGTGTCTCTGTGCTAATATGGTATGGTAACTTGAACTGATGTACGTACGTACGATGTTCTACTTTCTTACCGACTGACTGATTGAAATGTCCTACTGCTCGGTTTAGGCTACCTATCTGAGTGTTTAACTTTATGAAGAAGTTTCGAAAGCTTTCTGTACAAGTCATCTTTCACTTCATCTAGGCTGCAGTCCATGGGAGCGTAGCAGAAACGACAAAAAGGCAACGACGTGTGTCCCTATCGTTCCGAGTTGTTACAGAGCCGTTTAGCCGAACAGTACATAGGCGACTGTTAACCGGGATCCATTCTAATAGTGCTTGTTTTACCCCCAAACTTAGTGCTATACCTACACCTGCCAGTCCACGAGGAACAGTCATTGGGTCGTCAGATACACGGAGGGTGTACCTCGTCGGCTCTCCGTTTTGCCGAGGTGAGGTCAAGTGAATCCTGTATGCGTGTTTTATAGACACAGCATACATCAATCGTTCGAGATTCTAGGGTTTTAGCCAAGGAGGCCTGCTGGCCGATTTGGCATAGGGTGCGTAGGTTGAAGACTCCAATGTGTAGTTTGGAGCGAGGTTTCAGTAGACCTGGGACAGTGTTTTGCGTACTAGAATCGTTAGCCATGGTGACACTTAAGAAGGAAGTCAAAAGAGCAAGTTGAGAGTTGAAAGTCGACATAAGAGGAATAATACGAATTGAAGAGAGAGTTAGGTGGTTAAACATTCAACAATGAAACGACGGGGTTTTTGTTCGAACCCTACTGCAAATACTTCGGTTTAGGTCCCAAGGTACTACCACTAGCCTTAATATGAAGTTTTGCTTAAACTCCAGTATATGATTATGCATCTGGTGTCTGAGTTATAGAATTTAAATTAGCCCAAATAACTTATCTATTATTTACTTATTTGTACACATAAATATTGGCACGAAGGGGCACCAGATACATATGCGCTATACAAGTCGCCTGATTTGTGTGGAGGCTGTCATTATACCCGGGTACACAGATCGAAGCAGGTGGTTTTCTTATGGGGTCACACCCGGAGCCTTTGACCTAAAGGTGTGATCCACAAAGCAGTGGAGAAACGTCAGGAGATTCAGTCCCATGGTAGCCGGTGACCAACAATAGGCTCATATGCCATTTGTTCCCTTAGGATCCTAGAGCCCATGGACACCGTTGGTTTGGAATCAGAGTTTTCCAACTCACCTAGATGGATCCTCCATATCCACCAACCTAGTTATTTTCCACCCTCTCGATTCTGTAAACAACACCCCCGCCACAAGAAAGCAGTGAGTAGGACTTCCCTGACAGTAGCTGTATACGCGTGGCCATGTGAGAACATTTCGAGAGGGAGAACGGACTCTACCCACCCTTAGTTGTACCAGGGTATATGGGGGGAATAATAACACTAACACTTGAGTTTTTGAGACAGGCTGTTTTTTAATGAAAATCTGCCAGTGATTATTCAACTTTTGTAATAGAAGACAGTGGAAAACACTATAAATAAAAACCACTGGCAGCTAATTTTAAAACAGGTTGCACGAATACATTTGTATTACATAAATGCATGAACTCAACAGATATATTTCTGCAAACAGATTTAATAGCACAACTTCCTTTGAGTATGGGGTAAAATTTCTAAAAAAAAATAGTGGTCACATATCACAAACACTTTGTTGGTACTGCATCCTGGGACAAAAAACAGTCGGCAGACTCCCTTATAATTACATTTATTGCAGTCTACCATCACCACATTAGCAGATTAGGGTTTCACAGCTTTATCATAAATTCTGGGTATCAAATATTTAGCTAAAATAAATAAACTAGTTTAAAGTAATAGGAATTGAGAATCACTAAGTCAATATAGTAACTACGAAATAATACGGGATTTCGAAAGTAAATGAACTCATGCTCTACTTAGTTTCTTCCCAGAAGGCTGAATCAATCAGTCGGTAAGAAAGTAGAACATCGTACGTACGTACATCAGTTCAAGTTACCATACCATATTAGCACAGAGACACGATTGTCTATTCAAATCCCATAGTGGTAGAGGTATTAAAAGTTTAAGCCGTCATTGGAAAGATCAGGGTTTGAAGATGTTATTCAAGGAGTATAATTCAGTGAAATAAATTTGGAAAGAGAAAAGAGAAAGGGACATGAAGAATTCAGAAGATTAGAATTTGGGAGAACACAAAGAGTGGATGCACTTGCGCCATTGCAAACGATTTTGAGCCATATCATTCAGGGTCTCTAACCATCGGTTGCTGTCATCTCGTGGTCCCCAACCAGGTAGTCTACACCTACCAACATGACTCAGTTCACTTGTCAGTGACTTCATGGACTTGTGCCATGTTTTGGTTTGGCCGCCCCTACCTTTCTTCCAACCTACTCCTATACCACTGAACATAGTATGTCGAGGCAGTCGGTCGTTGGGCATACGTAACACGTGTCCCAGCCATCTCAACTGATGAAGTTTCACTACTTCATCAATTGATTTGCCATCCTTACCTAGTACCCGTTTCCTAACAACTGTGTTACTTACTCGATGGTCCCATGATATACGAACAATATTTCGAAGACACCTATGATCGAATACTAGTAACCTACAAATAACCTCTATTCTTATCAGCCATGTTTCACTGCCATAAAGTAGGACGGAACGAACTGCTGCACAGTAAACACGTCCTTTGATTGATAGACGGATATCTCGCCTACGCCATAAATGACGCAAGTTGGTAAAAGCTAGTCGAGCCTTCTGTATCCGTGCTGAGATTTCGTCACACACCAGACCACAAGGGCTGACGGGACTCCCAAGATAAGGGAAGTGGTCGACACGCTCAACCACTTTACTCCCTATCATTAGTTCAGGTGTCGATGCAACCCAGTCCTGAAGCAACATTTCGCATTTCGAGGGAGAGAATCGCATCTCGAACATGCTTGCATTGTTGCTTAGAGTGATCAGAAGACTCTGTATTTTGTCAGCGTCTTCACCAAATAGAACTATGTCATCGATATTCTAAGTCAACAAGTGAACCTCCAGGCAAAAGTACAACTCCTGGAAATTTAGATGAGGAAAATGTTATCTATAAAAGTACGTCGACCAAAAAGTTGAACAAGAATGGGGAGAGTGAACAGCCCTGACGAACACCACTTGAGGTAATCAATTCTGATGACAGTTCGCCATAAGCTCTCACTCTACCAGTTGTGTTCGAGTAGAGAGCCTTTATAAGGTTAATGTACTTCTTGGGTACTCCTTTCAGTGACAAACACTGCCATAGAACCTCACGACCAACAGAGTCGAATGACGCCTTAAGGTCGAGAAATACTACCATTGTGGGGCGTCTGAATGTGTCTGTGTTCTAGAACCTGACGTAGTGTGAATATCTGATCTATACAACCACGTCCAGGTCGAAAACCGGCCTGGTTTTCTCTAATCTGTTCTTCACGAACTTTGATTAGGCGTCGGAGTATTATTGAAGCTAATATTTTAGACACTATATTAGTCAAACTGACTTCTCTGTGATTGTCACAAGAGGACTTTTGTCCTTTCTTATAGACTGGCACAATCAGTGATTGAGACCAATCAGATGGGATTACGTCCAATTTCCAAATTCTACCTAAGACCTCAGTTAATCTCACTGCTAATACTGAACCACCATCCTTAAAATTCTCAGGAGTAAACCTGTCAGGGCCTGCTGCTCTCCCTGGCTTCAGATTTCCTATAGCTTTTTCAACTTCGTAAAGAGACGGAGGACCTGCATCAACTTGCCATTCAGGTTGACTGGAGATCGTGGGAAACCGAAATGTGGCTGAAGGCCAGTTGAAATGATCCCTAAAGTGTTCTGCCCATCGATCCAATCTCCTGGATTGAGAATGTATAATATGTCCATCTTTCTCTGAGAGTGTTTCGCTAACAGTCGGTTCCCTAATACCGGTTTCCTTAACAAGTCTGAACAATTGTCTGCTATTACCTATTGCCGCTGCATTTTCCATCTCTCTTGCTTTCGCTACCCACCACTGTTCACGATCATCGCGTAGACTTCTTTTCAGCTTGTGCTTAAGCTGACTCCGCTCTTCATTATGTTCAGAGTCAGGTGGAATGAGTTTTCGAGCATCTATCAGTGCGATAGATGCTGCTGAGATCCAGTGTTTCTCCCTAACATTACGGTTTACCTTGCTAGCAGATATCACTGCTGTTTCCACAGCCTTTCGGATATCGTTCCATGCTGCCTCGGGGTGGGAATCACATACATGGCTGCCTAACTGTTTTCCTAGTTGTTCCTGAAATATACTCTTAGCTTGACTATCATTAAGTAGGACCCTAAGAGGTTTCCTTGCAGCGTCTTTCCTACGTCCAGTAAGACGCAAGCAAATACGCGCTCGCACTAGAGCATGATCTGTATCTAAGCATGTGCTCCAGAATGAGCGACAGTCTTCTATCGAGCCCCTCCATCGGTAGCTGATAGCGATGTGATCCATTTGGCTCGAACGTTGGGACGAATTAGGGGGTCGCCATGTCAAAAGATGTTTTTCCTTATGCTTAAAGTTAGTATTTGCAAGGAACAGGCGGTTATCTGAGCATAGCTGCAACAGACGGTCGCCATTACCTGTTCTTTGAGCCACGACACCATAAGATCCACCCAGGTGTCTTTCCCTATCGCTTAGTTTACCTACTTGAGCATTAAAGTCACCGGCCACTGTTACTACATCCGAGCGCCTAGCTTTTCGGAGAAGGTCCGAAAGCTTTCTGTAAAACTCATCTTTTACATCATCTGAGCTGCAGTCAATGGGAGGATAGGCAGAGACGACGAAGAGGCAACGACGAGTGTCCCTATCTTTTGGGATCCTTACTGTTCCGTTCAGTCGGACAGCACGCAAATGACTGTCTACTGGGATCCACTCTACGAGAGCTAGTTCTGCCCTAGGACTCAATGCTATACCTACGCCAGCGAGGCCACGGGAAGCAGAATCAGGGCTTCCAGATACACGAAGTGTGAACCGAGTCGGCTCTTTGGCATGGTGAGGTCAAATGAATGACGCTACTGGGATCCTGTATGCGCGTTTCGGAGACGCAGCACACATCGATGGCGTGGGATTCTAAAGTCTTAGCTAAGGAAGCCTGCTGTCCTATTTGGCACAGTGTTCGGACGTTAAAAGCTCCTACGTGTAGTTTAGAGCGTGGTTTCAGGAGACCAGGAATGGCGTTCCGCGTACTCGAATCGTTTGCCCTAGCGGTGCGAGGTGATAAAGAGATGTGAGGAGGGTTAGTCATGGTGATAATAGAGGTATTAGGAGGTGTAAGAAGGATTTGGATGTGACTAACTTGGTCTCGTGTGCTGTTACGGGTATGAGGGCTGATATCACTTCCAGGCTGCCCACACCGTGGAAGGGTATTTCTTGAGAAACCTGAAAAAGAAATTGGATTAGTGTTGGTCTTAACGACCTGGGAGCGTGACCGCAGAGCCCAAGGGACAACTGCTTGAGGCCGGTCGCGCACGGCCTTTCCGTGGAAGGTTTTTAATGTGTTAGCTCCATCCTTCAAAGGGCCTTGCCACCGGAGACGGAAATCCGTGAGGTAAGATGAGGTGTGACATTTTCGATGTCGACCTTTTCTAACCCTACCCCTTCTTGTGAGAAGGCAGCATCGCTGCAGATGCTGGTTGTCCGAGGGAAACACCTTACTGCTGTCACACCCCTCTACAGTCAGCAGTACGACTTCGCTCTCAGACCTTGAGTTGCTGCTTTTAGTCTTACCGTTCTCCAATCGACCTGCGTGGCATGGTAGAACCTACAGGAACATATGTTCCAGCCAATATAGCTCGGTTGGGTCATCACGATAGGCAAGCCCGGCCACCGCGTCAAGCTAGCAGCTTCGGTCGGGCTGAATCACTATTTTTAATTATCTATCATATTTGACGGAAAATTCAAACCACAAATGCGAAATTTTTTCATTGGTCCTCAATGTTTTCCGTAGTCTGGACAGTTAAAATATGCAATATTGCTTACCATCCAGAAAAGCCAAAGGTTCTGGACGAATCAGAAAATGTGAAACAAAAAACGCGTCGGAGTTGTTTTAAAAGTCTACAAATGTACTTATTCAACCGAAAACTTACTTGGTTCGTGTACCAGTAAAACAAAGCTTGGTTGATAAGCATATCAGTACGTTGGCGAGAAAAAAGTTTAAATTGTAAACCATCTGTAGAAGCCATCTTAATACGTTTACGGCTGTCGAATATATTTTGATCTTGATTGATACAGACAATATTGTTAGCAGCCACTGCTAGAAGAGCAGTATCTGAAGCTCTGGTTCAAAATATACAGAAAGTAAGGGAAAATACGTGACGGAGGTATGATTGTATACCAAAATAATAAAGTATTCAAAATTATTAGTTGAAATGGATGCAGTATGAACCAGTGAAGATCAAAAGTCAACATGTGCCTAGAAAAACTCAACATCTATTAAATGCTTGTGAAGCATATACGTCCTACATCATTTGTTAAGCAACTTTGAATAATATGTACCATTTTTTCAGGTTTTGTGCTGTTATTGTTCGCTCTTAGTGTTTTCAGATATCGGGAACTCATATATAAAGTTCGAGTAACAAGGAATTACAGTACAAGAGTATACGTAGCAAATTTGTGAGGCACTATATCAATTCCTAAACAGTAAGTAAGATTATACGTCATTTAGCCGTAATTATGCGTGAACCATGAACTTATCATTATCATGAAACAAATGACAATTTTAAACAAACAGTAAACAACCCATTTTCAAACTTATTAACCCAAATTTGCATCCTCAAATCACGACCGCAGCTGCTACCTTGACGTTGTAGTAGGACTAGTCAATTAAAATGACGTGGACAAGAAAGTTATTCCTCGGGTTATACGGTCATGCTCACAGGTTGAAAAAATTACTACTAGTCTAGTCTCATTTTCAAGTACCTTTAGGAGTATCTCTCTACGAGTGGTCAGCTGGAAAGTAATAACCACCCACATAGCTTTTGGACAGACCAATTAACCGATTCTTTATAGTCATTATCCACACATATATAGGACCCTGTTAGTTATTCGCTAGTAACTTATATGATCGTGTATGCGTGTGTACTCATTACGTACTCTTCGTCGCACATCTGATTTTTATCTAACTACAAATATTGGGTCATGCTTCATTAAGTCGACTTGGGATGTTTACTTACTCTGGTAAGCTTTTCTCTTATCATTTGTCCGCATTAACGGAAGTATGAAAATATTTAACCAAAAACCATCCTCTTATTTGGCTAGTTTTATTCCGTTATTCAGTAACGAGAATTAAGTCGATCGATATATTAGAGGTAAAGCGGAATACATTTCGTTAACATCATGGTGATCCAGTCAAACTGGAGTCAGACAATTAATCTGATTTTTATTCCCACCCAAACATCATTGGTCAAGTCACCGATTACGGCTAGATGTCATTAGAATTATCAAATTCAAGTGGTTTTCCTAAGGGTTCTGTACTATCCCCTTTTATTTAATCGCGTCATCGATGCCCCACATAGAAATCACCCTTTATTCATCTAACCTTTCAGGAAGTGATACCCTAATAGGAAGTTCGCTAGTCCATAAGGAGGAAGTAGACGGCATAGTTTTGATTAGTGAAGACGATAACAAAATGCATCCTCCTAATAACCTTCAGTAATACAAGCATGTTTCAGATGTATTTCTCTCCTTTTAAATCCAACATGTTGTTCAAAAACTTATCTGAGTCGACGTCTGAATTGATAATAGCGAGTGAAGCAGTTGGATGTGTCGACCACTTCACTTATCTTGGAAGTCTCATTAGCCCTGATTGGTTGGTGTTCGATGGAGTTTCAGCAAGGATTAAAGAAGCTCAACTGTCTTCTATCAGCTTGCATCATATGTGCTGTAGGCAAGATGTCCATCCACCAACCAATGGGTAAATATACTGCACAGCAATCCTCCCTATTACTTTACTGATGTGAAACATGGTCTATGAAAACGAGAGATATGCTTACTTTGCAGGTTTTTGATCAGAAAGGTCTTCTGGGTATTTACCGCGTATCGACCAAATGAGCAATACCAAGTTTGGACGTAAAACTTGAGATTGTGAATATCTATCGTCTTAAGCGATTGGGAAATGTATAACGTATGACAGGTGATGTTGACCGATGTGGGGGTCGATTTGAAAAAAGCCATGGATGGTCGAAGCAGAACATAGCATCAATTTATTAAGTCACTGGCTATAAGGCCTTGTTAACAGATATATACCTAGTTAAGGTTTGCGAGACAACTGAGACTAGTGCTTGGAGATTTTTCGATTAAATGGCTCACAATCGTCAACAACAGAGATGTATTCACTAAATATCTTAGTATAGATCTTGATTTCCAGTATTCTTTCATATACATCATTTTATTCCATTTTCCCAAACTACATTCTAAACACTTTATCTTTCTGATTATCACTTTAATTATACTATTCCGGATCCTGGACTACTTATCTTTTTGATTCCATCCTACAGTGCTAACGTGGAATGGAAATTCAAGTCAGCTCACATTTGTCGCAGGCTTCACACTGATGACTGACTGGTTAGTGGTACACAATTCATTGCCATAAGGTAAGTCCCATCAAAAATCTGCACATTCTGAGTTTACGCACAAAGGAACAATTATTAATATAACTTCATATCGTTGATGTGAACTAGATCATTAACAAGATTTCTTTTGATGAAGTAGGGTTGACAAAATCAAAATGGTTGGCTCTTAGAGGTACGAAACTCCTCAATATAAATTAGTACGTTTATTACATAAATTATGCAACCCGTCATCAACAAATGTTTTAGAAATATTATTTCTTGATTGACAACATCCTTAGTTTAAAAGGCATGAAGTAATAACAAATTTAAAATAACCACATTACCTTTGTCGAATGACTGATTGATACACCTGGTTCGCTTCTTCTTCTTCCTTATTGATCTGCAAAATATAAGCTCGCTGAACTCTGAAAATAAAAATGTGCGTTGAAGACTAATCCTGCCTTACTTATGATCTTGAAGAATAAAAATAATGGATATACGTTTTATAAGTATCATTAACTAAAAGTTATAACACTAAGTTGGGAGCGTCAAAACATTTGTAAAAAGGAATATTCATGGAAAAAATCATCTCAAGTAATGAATTCTTACAACCATTACATTTTGTAGATAAACCATCTGTCATTATTTCTTACTAAACATTACGATCCGAAAAAACTATGGAGTAACAATATTAAATTATGCTGTCTACAATATGTAAAGTTGGGTTGTCTAGCCTTTCATATCCTGAAGTGTGATTTAATGTTGGGAGTGGATAACGATTAATAACTGTGATTGCAACCTTTAAGTGATATGGGTAAAAATCAACCACAGTAGCGCAGATACATCCATTTTTCTAAACCTTTAATAAACATCATCCTAGTTTAATCCCCACAAGGAATCCGTTCTTTACATACTTTAGGACTCCACTAGTCTTATCACTTCAGCTTTTTCACTTGTTTATTTTTTGGAATTTCAGAGAGAATTGTGGCAGCATGAATAGCAGCACATCTACAAGAGGTCTTATATTTTAATCCGACTATTTTATTATTTGAACACATGAATATTGGTACAAGAGAGCGCCAATATATATGCGCCACACAAAACAATGAGAATTCGAAGAGAAGTAGAAAAAAACTAAGGAGCGCAAAAGAAAAACAGAACAATGACGAAGATATTGGAGTAAGGTAGTGTGGTAGTAACGACGGAACGAAAAGGTACAATCAGAAGAAATCTTTCAGGTAAAGGAGACACAAACACTTTTTATGAAGAAAGTAAAAGAAGGTTACAGCAGGATCGCCACTGGCTTCTATTCTGAGCCATATCTGATAACGTCTCTAGGAGCAGAATTCCACTTAAGATAGATGATTTTCCCTCGTCGGATATGGTATGATCCTCTTTGTGAGACATAATTCACCCAACACCCTCGAATTTGAATAATCAGGAGTAAATTTGACTAACCTATACTGACAATTTGAACAAAGAATGCTCTTTGAAGCACCACCTAATTGACGGGATCAAACACTGCTTCTAAACTGAGGACGAAATATGGTTTTCCACATTAGTACTACAAGACGTTGAAGTGTCTTATTTTAAAATTCGTTTCACTTTTCTAACTTTTTTGCTAAATATAGTTCAGCCGAAAAGTCTCATTTCCCAGGATTTCATAAAATAAAGCAACAAAGTGGATTCACCTATCTTAAGAAAGACCTCAAACAGAAGTAAAAAGATTATCTTGATATTTGTACCTTATAGGAGCTAACTCTTCATTCTTCTCCTCTTCAGTTAATTCCGGGTCTTCAGAGAGACACAGATTACAAGTATCTATGGCCATTAGTTAAAAACAGTTAAGTATCATACTTTCAGCATCATCTAACAATCTGGATGCCAGATGACAGTCACCACGTCCAAGATGATAACATGCCAGATTAAACTTTCCTTCATACATTTGGGGGTTAACATCTAGGTCCTTTAAAAAATAACGATTATAAAAAATCTATCCTTACCAGATTAGTGTTATTAAAGCATGATTCAGCAGCAGCCACCGCCGTTAGATTCGCGAGCCGTTCTTCACTATAATCATCCTAGAAGAGAATAACGAATTAGGTGTATTACTAACTTGAGAATTTCGAATCACTGACCGTAGGTAGGCGTATGCAGCAGCAAAATCACCTTTCCTGTACAACTAGAGAAAGTGAAGATTGAAGCAAAAAAGAATACGTACCACTTGTGCTTTTAGTTCCTGAGCTTTTGGATCGTTTGCCTCGGCTGATTCAAGAGTTTTTGCGGCTTCAGTGAGACGATTAAGTCTATATTCAACGTAAGCTTTCTCAAAGATGACATGACTGAAACAAATGAAACAGTGCTGAACAGTTTTACATACCTAGATAGTGTTGGGTTTCTTTTCAAGAAACTCAAACAATCTTCGTATTTCTCGGTTCGAATAAGGGCAACAACCTTGCACAGGAAAGCTTTAGTCTCACCAGGATACTTTGTAAGAACTACAGGGAAAATACCACGTAAGTGCTTAATTATTGAAGTGTAGACTAAATTTTATGCTTAACGTGGAATCCAAAACATCCCACTAGGGTTATATTGTTACTAAGGTCTCAATCGAAGCCCATGTACAAGAAATCATTTCACTGCATGTGTACAGCAAATGGTATGATTAAGTCCAGTAGAATGCTTCCAAGCGCACAGTCAAAATTTGAAATTGAACATTTAGAGAGTGGAAATCTTCAGAAATAACTAATGTTAGTTTATTCTAGGAACTTGTTCGCTGAGAATCTATATCTAAGTACTACCACTCCAAAAATACCCCTTAAATAATGATAAACAATTGACCTAATAAAAAATGACAGCTAAAAAGTATTCTAGGGTGAGAATGTTGGAGATTCACTAGCACTACAATTTTCTCTGGAATAATAAAAACCAGAGTGAAGTGTAAACATTTCTGTAGTAAGACTAAGCAAGGTATTGCTAAACAAAAACTCACTTTTCCCAGAGATATTTATAATCTTATCGTACGCTTGAGCACTACAAGCCTTGTTGAGATCTGAATAAGCAGACTGAACATTAAACGCCTTCTCGTTTGCCATTTGCAAACGTGTCAAGTTACGCACACTCCATGTAACGCGCTCTTTAGGCTTAACTGGGACTTTCAACCGTGTCAAAATAATTTCCTTGGAACTAAGGCTGAGTTGTTTATGGCGACCAATCGCAGCTCTCTTTTATTTTGCTTACATCACTAATTCAATACTCACAAATATAAAAATGTAGCACAAGCGAAATACAACTGGATACCACTGGTAGTGACGATTCGTAGAGTGTATAGGGACCAACGACAATGTTGGACTTCGACCATATAGACTCCTCAAGATAATCCTAGGGTTAGAGGAACAACGACGTCTTTTGTATGTTAGGGCTCGGATTCACAAAAACATCGACAATTGAGGAAGATCGACATGTCTCTGGCAGACAGAATAAAAAAGACGGAACTAGCTAAACTAGGGTGGGTATGTCATTCTCTCTAGAAGTCTTATATAAAAGTGCTTGTAGTTTCGAAAAGAGATTTCAATCTGCTTACCCGATGACTTTTTCTCAGAGCACGTTGAGCAATAGATTAAAAACAACAGATGCCTGATATTAGGATATTTTAATGCTCCTGATATTAGTTGGACAGATAGGGTCATCGTAAGATCTGAAAACTCTTTTCATAGTAGGCTCCTGATGACGGTATTAGAACATGCTTTACTACAGCATGCATTCGAACTCAAACATCTTGGTTCATACCAAGCATCTTCTGTTTGAGACTGAATGAACATTATGCGACGGAAGAAATCTAAATTGGATAGGAGAGTTTTCGGCAGGTCGTAAACATGAAGTAAAAATGAATGCCAAACCCTCACATTGGAATGCAGTACTTGGTAGAGTATCAATAGGTTATGTTCTAGGTCATTTACCTTTTACACCATGTTTAAAGGAACTCCCGAGTATGGTTAAGTCCCTGGTGCTGTGTTGTGCTGATGATGTTGAAATTTGGCAAGGAGTAACGAGGTACGCAGATGTATGTACACTCCAGGCCAACAAAGACTATCCGGTAGGCTGGTCTGAAAGGTGGTTGGTGTCTATCGAAGCAACTAAGTGTGTTTATGTGTACACCGAAGATGCGAAGATAAATTGCTACTGCACGTGTCTGACGTTGGTAACATTAGATCTGTTTCACGAGAATCTGAATATGATAGTAAACCACGATCTAAGACCTGGAACAACCTAGGTCGGTTGGTTAATAGTTGGACCCAAATATCTTAGAAATGTCAGAACATTACAGCACAAGTATTCACTCACTTCCTTCTTTTGTGTAGGGATTATACTTCCTATTATTTTATGTTGAATGTTGAAAGACTATGTGTGTTTGAAAAAGATAACCTCCTAACTGTTCTGTTTCATAAACTAAACAAAAACTAAGCCTCACTATAAAGTGGTATAATTCTTCTCACACATGAATGTAAATAATATTAATTAGACTCGTATCGTAAATATAACAATTGGCGCGCTTTGTGGATGTCGCGTTGCGACGTGCAACTGATGGTCGAGAATAAATCCACGTACAGTCGAGAACTTCTAGAAATTGCGATCTTATATCCTTCTGGAACAGCTGGAGCATTAACGATGGCGCAGGACGAAGTAACGCGTTTCACATGTGTTTTCGGTGGCATATATCAAGGGGGCTGAAAAGGAGGGTAAGAAACAGAAAGGAAGAGAGACGGAGCAGACCATGTTCATACCCATTGAAGTTGAGTCATTTGTTGTGGAGTAGTCAAGGTACGACTACATAGTCCAGTTCTCTTTGATTATTGTACTTTTCAAGCAAGAGCATCCAAATACGTTACCCTGGCTTGTTTTACAAAGACAGACTGAAACGCCTCAACATATTTCCGTCATCTTACCACAGGCTACAGAATGGTCTAATACTGGCTTAATGTATATAAAATCATATTTGACGAAGATTTGCATTTCATATCTGTATTCTATTTCTTAAGGAATATATGGTTATATCGTATTTGAATGCTTTAACCCACGTACTTTATGTATCTACAGGATCTATTCAAACCTCTACCTAATATCAAGAAATATATATAACCGTGTATTTTAAAGGACTGTATTCACTATTTCATGAACTATCATTTAAACCGTATTGAGATACTATAAATTATTTCATTTCCGAAATTACCTGTCCAACTCGGTGAGTCAGTCATAGTTTTTTTTCCAATAAGCTGTTTCGGCGAGACTCTAATTTAGCGACGACCTTTGAACGAATCTTAAATGACGTCGACAATTATTAGCCAATCAGAAGACAGTTAGTATAAAGTGAGAATATATTGTAAGTAAGTAATGAATTACAGTGGATATTCTTCTTTTACATGATTTAAAAACTTGTTAAGGTTTGATGAAGGTTCAGAGGCTCTCAATTCATAATGCATATTGTATAGAAACTCGTACATAGGGTTAGTGGTTAGGGTTGTAGCCTGTCAATAGACATCTCTTCTCTAAAATCCGATGTAAACCGATCGCATGTTAGCACCCTAACCTTAACCTAACCCTAAACCCTACTCTAACCCTAACCCAAACCTTAACCTAACCCTAAACCCTAACCTTAACCCTAAACCCTAATCTAACCCTAACCTTAACCTAACACTGAACCCTAATCTAACCCTAACCCTAAACCCTAATCTAACCCTAAACCCTAACCTTAGCCCTAAACCCTAATCTAACCCTAACCTGACCCTAACCATAAACCTAAACCCTAACCTTAACCTAACCCTAAACCCTAATCTAACCCTAACCTTAACTTAACCCTAAACCCTAATCTAACCCTAAACCCTAACCTTAGCCCTAAACCCTAATCTAACCCTAACCTTAACCTAACCCTAAACCCTAACCTTAACCCCAAACCCTAACCCTATGGACGAGTTCCTATACCGTATGCATTATGAATTCAGAACTTCTGAACCTTTATCAAACCTCAACAAGTTTTTAAATCATGTAAAAGAAGAATATCCACTGTAATTCATTACTTTCTTGTAATATATTTTTACTTTATACTGTCTTCTGATTGGCTAATAATTGAAATTACTCAGACGCTTCTCATTGGCTCGTCCCTAAATTAGAGTTTCGCCGTCCCATCTGTTGTAACCTCTCATTAATCACCTCCTCTCTAAAATCCGCTGTGAACCGACCGTATGTTAGCATCGCGTGTTGAACTTGGCTCCGTGACCTTGAAATTGCTCAAACGCTTCTGATTGGCTCGTCGCTAAATTAGAGTCTCGCCGCTGTTTCATATATTTGTTCAAGAAGCAACATAATAATCTTAGACGGTAATAATCTTCTAAACTACTTATCTCTGCACCTCCCAATTTTTACTAATACGGACTTTCAGTTTATATATGTATCACTTACTGTACTTTTTTGATTGTTTGATACTAATTAACGACATTTTTAAATTACTTTACTATATAAGGCTATCTTTCGTGTCATATATGTTAAAATTTATACAACTTGCTCCTTTATATTCTATTTTGCCTCCACACAGATAATGACATAAATACCTCATCTCCACTACTATCTTCCTGCCATTGTCATCTTTTGATTTTAACACCACTAATCCTCACGATACATTCACTCTTGGTTAAAACATAGATTTTGATTTTTAGACTAACTTGAGCTCTCGGAATTGATTTTTTCACCCCTATTTCCAACATTCTGTTCAAACCACTTGCTATACGTCACTTTCTTATCATGCCACAAAAGAAAATGAAGACCCCAGCTCCTAGGCGTCCAGCCAAACGTAGGAAAACGACACAATTTAACGCCACTACTGACACGATTTCCAACAGTTTCAACGAGACGAGCCACTCCGTTCATCCGGAAGCAGACAAGCTTTTACCAGTTGTCTTCATTCCAGACATGTTGAAAACTCTGCTGGTAAACAGTGATGATAATCGCAACTGCAACCATATGGATGCTATAAAAAGTTGCAAGTAGACATGAACATTCTCAATCCGCTCAAATATCTCATCAACCCCAACCTCACAGAGACTCCAGATCAAATGAATGACATAAATATTTTCCTAGATCGTGTTGCATCAAAGGTATTTGAAAGAATAAGACGATCTAGCAATGCAATTGTGTTTAATATACCGGATACACGTGCCCTTAAAAATATCAAATCTAGTCTGCTTAGAGCCAGCAATATGACACACGTACCATGTGTATGCACAAGATTAAAAAGAATTCATCCTGGTATGCACTCACCGATCTTGTTCAAATTCAACTCATCTGTAGACGCCAGTGAGTTTTTAAATTCCTCCAATTCATTGAGACAAAAACAGATTTTCAAGGATATTAAGACTCTTCCGGATAAAACACCATGCCAGCGAAAAACAGACCATCAGCGTCAAACTCTCAAACGCATCATAATCCTAATGGTTGTAAAGTTAAGTCTGATTCTAAGAGGACGTCTAGCTTAACAACTTTGCCGCCACCGAAAAACTCTTCTGAATCTCATAAAGTTCAAAACCCAGTAGAAAGTAATCCCGATGTAGGTGGTGTCCATCCTCTTAAGAATGTTGACTTAGATTCAACCCGAAGTAGTTGTGCTGATGAAGAATGGGATAACACAATCCAAACCCCTGTTAGTGCAACACCCAGTAACAGTAACTGTGCAACGGGTAACAGGAAAACTAATCATAACATTCATATAACTGACCACGCACTTAACGTTGATATATTCGAACCTCGCAAACCACCGCAAGTATGTTTAACAGTACACAATCCTCTCCAACTTATGAAGGAGCCGAAACCAACCACAAACCTTGGAAATAAACGTCTTAAACACGTTGCCCATACGTCAGGTATAAATAGTTATCTGAATTGTAATTGGTCACTTGGTCACAACCATAGACCTGATAGCCTTCTTGGTCCGGCTCCCAATATGTACAGTATGCCCTTATAAGATGTTATATCCAATAACAATGAGAAAACTTTTTTTGTAATTCCGCCGGCTTTCCTGCAGGCAACGGTAAACATATTTCACATGATGACAAAGTGGTTGAATCTATTTCCCCTCGCAACACGACTCTTACCTT